CGCCCCGCCGCAACCGTCCTCTTCTCTCTATTCTCTTTTACGGGTTTCCTCGGTTGTGTTCAGGTCCGACTCGATGGAAGACTACCTTCGACTGCTGCTGGACAATCCCGAGCAAGCCATCGAAGCACAGGTACGAACGACAGTCGAGGTCGTCGCCCCAACCAACGACGGCAACTCGTGAGCATTACATTTTCTGGAGCTCTTGCACGCGTGATCGAGCGGAAGCATGTCCCTTCCCTTACGCGAACAGTAGTGCTGCGCACGTACGCGCGTCTTGTTGGTGGTGCATTGCTTTCCCCGCGGGACTGAAGCTTTGAACAAGCAAAGAGGCCGCTGTTGTTTATGGTCCGTTCGGGCAAATAGTCACAATCTTGTCTTTCGCGAAAACTTTGGAAAAAATACGATTTGGAACGTGAAACAACTTTGGCCGTGACCGCGGCGTCGAGCTTCGTCCATATCCGATGAGTTTTTGGTGATTGGGTGAAACGCGGCATGTTTGACCAGAATGACCCACGGAATCCCCTCCCCTCATCAACCCACGGAGCCCCCAAAGTACACCACGAACCCCCCCAAACCCCTCCCTGTTGCACGTATTTGCCTTCACAGCATCAGTTAAACCGTTCTCAATCCATGTCTACATTATTTACACGTTACATGCAATACCGCCGTAACTCTCTACCCAACCCTTGCCTGGCGAAGATGCTGTAATCCAAAGCATTCAGCAATCAGCACATCCGTTCTCTCTCACCAAGTCCGACACCAAGAGAGACAGCCAAAGCGTTGAGTTGGTCACCATGACGAACGCCTCTACCGCGCCTAAACGCGAGAAACCAACAGTACAACACACCGCGACACATAGATCATATGTACATTGCCCACAGCAGGGTCCGCAGGGGGGGAAGGGGCCTTCCGAATCGTGCCGTCGGCGTTCCTTGCCCGCTTGCGCTTTCCCTTTCTTGGGCGACCCATGTGCCCGGAGCGCGTGTGCGCCTTTCGTAGCGTGCGTAAAGGGTGGTTGTGTGTGCCTCTGGTGTGTGTGTGTGGTGGGAAAAAATTCCCCGAGGGCGTGTGAAACCACCCGAAATATCTCCGAAACCCGAGTTTTTTTTGAAAATCGGAAAATAAAAGTCGGTGGCAAATCACGAGAGGAATCGATTGCCGCAGTTTATTCTTGAATCGTTTGGTTGGATTGTCCCCAAGAAACTAAGCAAAATATCCTCCAAAATCGTTTTTTTTGCCCATAACTTCGTTATTTTTTTATCAAATTGGAAATCGGAAAAAAATCGTCGGTGGCAAATCACGAGAGCTGTTCAAATCCGGTCTCAGATTTTGTGTCTGCAAAACGCACCGCCCTCCAGAAACTAAGCAAGATTTCTTGAATATTTGAACATATCGAGCGAAGGACGAAAAAAAAAAAAATCTCTTTACGAAGACGTCTTGAAACGACGATTTACGTGGTATTTTCAGATTTATTTCGGAACAAATACGCCCATCCCGAGAAAAGTGCACCTTTGTACAGGGGAAAATTGTGTAAATTTGTGGGCGAACGGACCATATTTGTGCCTTATCCCGTATCCTCATCCCGTATCCTCATCCCGTATCATTGAATCTTATCCCTTTGTTTCGTCAAGGCGGCCGGAGAGCAGAACACACAGAGCCGGAACGTCATCATGCTGAATGAAACCCACCTGGTCATCTACAAGCGCACAGCAGCAAATCACTTCACTGAAACGTGAGTCCGAACTTCCACATCCGTGGTGTTGTGAGAAGCGTTCAGACTAACGACGAACCCGGGTGTACCCCATCAGTTGGGTGGACAGGTGACAAGAACGACAAAGCAGGTCCCCACCCCTCGTTGATCGTATGCTGATGCCGTTCACAGGTTGGGTGTCGAATATGTCTACGGAGATTGCGCAGTCCGTAGGGTTGCAGTCCGAAGTGGGAGTCTGCTTAGCTTCCTCGGAGTATCCTGGGCGGAAGGAGATCGGTCCGTCTGGTGGTCTAAAATGCGTGACTTCTGCACACCTATAAGATACCCACCTTGGCCCTCCTAGGCCGAGCTGCCGTTCTTGACACCACCACGAGCTGGGCCCGCCTGTCTAACCGGTTGAGGGCCCATTCCAAGCCTTTTTCACACAATCCCATGCAACCGCACAAGCAGCAAATAGCTTGCGATGTAAACAAACAATCTCTCGGTTCCCGTTGCGGTTGCAGCTTCGAGCTAGGACTGGAGAAGGCTGTCCAAAACGCTGCCGGTTACATCAAGCGGTCCACCGCGTCCCTCATCGATAACGGGCTGCTGACGGGCTACTTTGTTGCGATCAGCACCATGTCTGCCGAAGGCCGCAGCTTGTCTCTGGTCGACGCGCGCCGACTCGAAGAAGGGGGACACGTTCACACCCAGGTTTGGTCTTGAGGTGTTCGTTAATGTTTGGTGGCCTGATGATCGTCGATGCCATAGTACAACTTCGCGCGAAGACGCCGTTTTGACTCGTTAGGGTGACCGACTTCAGTTGTAGCGATTGCCGTTCTCGTCTGCAAGCATGGCGGATTGGAAAATTACGGTTGGTAATCATACGGGCGATTCATGTTCACATGGATAAACTTTGTCCTGCTCTCTCAAGACGACTGCTGCGCCGCTCAAGGATGCGGGGCAGTACCAGCCGTGTTGTGCCCTGACTCTCTTGTCGCTTGCGTCGTCGTCCCGTGCCGTATCGAACGTCGCCCGCAGGAGCTCAGCGTGAGGAACAACACGACCGGTGAGACGTGCAACATTGTGCGCACGTGGATTCGTGTGCCGATGACCAGCTCCGACGTGGGGCGGCTGGGGCGGCGTCTCGCCGAATGACAGCGGCCGAAAGGAAAATGGTCGTCCCTCTTGACGACTTCCTCTCCGTTACTTTCTGCCCCTCCTTCCTATTCTCCGTGCGAGGGATATAACTGACCTGTTTGCGTGGTGGGGTTGTTTTTACGAGTCAAATGCGTCGCTGCTGTTGTCGGTGAATAAGATCGTTTGGCACGTGTATGCGCGTCGTAAGGAATGAAACACGAAGATGTGTGACCGCGTGTTGTGGTTCCTCTGTGTGAATGTTGGTGGACGTGGTGTGATCATTGTTTACTACAAAGTCTACTGTCCGAAGCATATGTTAAAGGCTATAGTGAAAGCTCGTTTTTGTTGACAGCATGATCCCTCCTTGTGATTTGTTGTTCTTCCCCCTCGATTCCACGCAATGGTGTTGTTGTTGTAGTTGTTAATTTTGTTGTTGTCGCCTTAACCTAGTAATCGGCTTTTACCCAGTGAGTCTTTCTTTGTCCTCAAGGCAAAGAAATGTCTAAGCTAACCCATACAGCAGTATTGGTCAGCCTGGCGCCTGGCTTGTTTCTTTACGGGTGGGTACGATCATCCCTCTCGCTATGAGTGCTCCTCCTATGTCGTCCTTATGCGTACCCACGCGTGCGTACAGCCATTCGTTCCTACCTAGGCTGACCCCCATCAGCCTGTGCTGCTGCTCACGCAGCCGGTGGCAATTCGAGGGCCTTAAGGTTTAGTAGTCCCCATGCAGACGCAAGAATTCTGCTTAGTTGTGTGTTTAGTACCCTGATGTGAGGACCTTCGTGTAGTCACGTGCCAGTTAGACCAAGGATTCCCGCTCTGTTGGCGTGGCGAAGGCTCGCGCGTATGCTGTGTTGTGATGTGGTCTACGGGTGAAGTAAGAGAACCCTCAAGACGGGCTACGGTGTTTTAGTGTGGTTGGTGTATGAGTATGTTCAGAGGACTCTGAGCGGGCCTCGGCCCGTCTGCCGTGGGCCTTAGCCAGGAATAAAAAATCCGAATGTGTGTCATCGGTGGTTCTGACTTAGTAGGCTGCAACTGAAACAGAGGGGAATTGTTGGGGCGATGCTCGCGTCACGAGTCTGAACCTTGCCAACAATCGACAAGGCTGTACATCTGGCAAGGTCTGCTCCGTAAGGAAGAGATGCTCGGAGAGGGTAATCTGGGGTATGGATCTTTAGTTGCCCGGGACAAACAGCGGTTGCAAAACACGCGTCTGTGGAGCGCACGGACCGGATGGATACCGTGCGAAGGCAAGACCCACAAATCACACGTAAGCTCGTGCCCTGACTTCCTCAATAGAGGCCGGGTGGTTTTGAACTTTATGGTGTGTTGCATGCTTCGGTAACATCCGAGTAGACAGACCCACTTATCGACTGTGCATTCCTCAGGCCAGCTCTGGCTCGCGTTCAAAAACCGAAACATCCCACTCTTCTAAGCCATGCCCATACTGCAGGCACAAAACATGCCACTTTCTATCGCAAAAAAATCCACATGTGACCATGTCCGCGAAACGCTTTTGCGGCTGATGCAATTGGGCCAGACTATTTTACATTACATTGTTTCCATCAGCATCACCATGGGCAACCCAACTTAAAGCCGGAGAGCCTAGCCGGAGAGCCTCGGGCTTCGTCTGCTCGGAGCGCGTTCTGCAGTCGTGGTTCTATTGCTCTGCGATGCAACCGCCGTGGCAGGCATTCGTTCCGGCTTCACGGTCACCTTCGCAGTCTTCGCTCTTTTCGCCGACGCTGCCCCAACTGCTTTGCCAACACCGCCGTCGTCGCCTCCTGCTCTGCCTCTTTTCGGCGCCACGGCCACCTTCGCGGCCACAGCCATGGCTTTCATTCCTCGCGCTGCCGGGGTTAGTACCTGTGCGGAAGGGTCGGTCTTCACCTTACCGGAAGCTGCTCGCATCGTCGGCGTAGCCTTCTTCCGCCCGCCTCCCCTGGCACTACTGCCGGGGGCGGTAAAAGCAGGCCCAGCAGCCGACTTCTTCTTGGCGCCGCCTCCCTTGGCGACAGGTGCGAGGTCCTTCGCTTTGGTGCTCACGCGGCCGGTTTTCTTGGCAGCAGTTCTGGCCTTGACCGACTTCTTGTCCTTGACGCTACTCTTGTCCAGCCCCTCCTGATCTTCCTTTTTTGGGGTAGCGTCCCCTCCCCCCGTTTGGCGCACTGCTTTGGCATTGCCCTCGCCAACCCCACCCCCACGGGCATGAGCCTTGGACTTGGCCATGGCAGCAGTAGGTTTAGGTTTCTTTCCACTGGCGCTGCCGGAGCTGCTACCGCCGACTCCGCCAGAGGCAGCAGTAGGAGAGCGGAGCAGCCCCTTCTTTTGGACAGCGGGCACGATGGCCGTAGTACGCCCGCCGACGACGTCGAAGACAATCGGGTGTCCGGAGGACACGCGAGGGGCACCTTCCGAATTTTTCCCCTTTCCCCACCTGCGAGTGGACATGCACTTACAGGAGTTATGCTATTCTAGAGATATGACGAGCTCAGCAGGTCAGATCTAACCTTCGAAAAACCGAAAATGCACGCACGCAAAGCGACTTCGAGCAGGACGAAACCCAGGGGGTTCGCATACAACAGGGTACGGGTGGGTGAACGTGGATGATGCATCCCTTGCCTGTGGTGGAACAGCCACTCCTTAGGGAACGACGTGTAGTCTGCTCGAGCCTCGCACGCCTCGCGGCACACGGACAGAAGCCTCGAGTGAAGTGCGGCTACCTGTGACTCGCGATGCGGTCCAGCCAGCCAACCCACGATAAGGCCGTACCGGCGGCGCAGTACAATGAGCGAGAAGGGGGGATCAGCATCTCGCTTTGTACGCGTCGTCGAAGGTTTGCTTCGAACCGCTGCGTACACTCTTTGGGGTGACAAAAACACTCCCGCCACATGTTGGGTGTATCCGGTTCCTAATTCGGCTCGAGAGACGTTCCAGAAAAACGGAGACGTGGAGTTTCCTGTACAACTCGACAATTTTTCTAGAGTTTATGTGTCATTATCTCACACACACGTGCGACGCACTAGCGCAGGCAATGGTGCAACGCGCCTCATTGCTACGGGTTTCATCGTTCCTCTCGATTCTCTCCCTCTCTCCTCTCTCTCTCTCTCTCTCTCTCTCTCTCTCTCTCTCTCTCTCTGTCTCTCTCTCGCTCTCTCTCTCTCACTCACTCTCTCTCTGCCGCGTCTTGTCTTTCTTTCTCTCTCCATTCTTCCCTTCCCCGTTCCTTTTCTCACCTGCTCTGGGTCAAGGGTGTTGCACGCGGCGCCGGGGTGAACGCATGCCTGAAAGCACACCTCGTCCGCCACCCAGTTTCCAACCCCTGACACGACCCGGTCCTGATATTAGCAGCAACCACCAGCGCGAGAGGATGACCGGCAGGATATTTTTAAGTTTCAATATCTTCGCTGCCTTCACACTCGTGGGACGCGCACCACCTTCCGAGACTTTCCACATTTCAGAAGGCGAGGAAACACTTATCTACCCACAGGACAATGCGGGGACGCATGTACGATACACACCAACAATAAAGCGCCGCAAAAAACAGTGCACGTGAAAGAAGCGGCTTCGCCGATGGCCTAAATATCCAAAACGTCATCTTGTACGCCGCTCAACAAAATACGTAGCGGCGTAACACTAGCATGATCGTATTCAACGCTGCATGCAAAAAATTTTTACGGTGATACCACGCCATATTCAACACACCTGCGCCAAAAGCACTGCCTTGATCGGCGCCGTCGGCTTCGCGAGGGCAGCGGCGAACGTCTCGAGGGACAGAGGGTGCGTCAGGGGGTCGGGCCCGAGCAAGCTGATGGGTGGCGAGGCCTCCGGCTCCGCGCGAAGCTTAACTCTCGACAACCGTCGCGGGTCGGTCAAGGCCAGGCAGGCGCCGTTCGACATCTGACAGCGCGGGCCATGCACCCGATGTAGGGACTGCTTTGGAACTATGAACGGGAGCTAAACGGTTGGTCGATGAACACCTTACCTATAATAGTGGCAGGACAACAAACATGCAGTCAACTATTCCTCGCTCAATGATTCGTTTGTGATCTTTGTGGGTCTGCGTGCATTCTACCCGTATTTTCTTAGATAAATGAGACGAGGCTGTGCGCAGCACGGCATAAGTTGCCGAGAGAGGTTCACGTAAGAACGCCCGCCCGTCAAACGCATCAATGGAACCCCTTCAACTGTAGCAACAATCGATATTCGTTTCGGTGACGGCAGGGCACGCTACGTGGGTGTCGGCGTATTCTTGATCGTTGCTGCTACGTCGTTCTCTCAAGTACGTGAAGGTAGGGTGCCCGGCGAAGACCGCATGGGCAGGCCATGCCATGTGTGTCACGCAGGGATCATGCTGTCCGTGTTACCCGCAAAGGCTTCGAAAGCCTACTGCGTCATACTGCGTAAGAGGAACTCAAGGCGCCATCGCGCGACGTTTCACGTCACAGCGGAGATACCGCGCGCTATCGGACGACGCAAAAAATCAGCCATGCCCCATGGGTCGCCCGCAGAACTATCTCGTCAACTGCGTGGACCCGAATGACCACACCAACACCTGACCCCACGCTCAGAACGCCCAGAACACAGAATTTATCGAAGGCCGCGCTCGCACCTGTAATTCGAGCTTTGCGAACCTTGGTGGCCATTCTTCGGAAACCTTAAACTTGACGAACTTGTGCCGCTTTTCTCCCTTCACAGTAAATGCCCCCGTCATGCCGAAATGAAAGAGGGGGTGAGGTGGCCTGGAGGCAATCGGATGCAGGCGGGAGATGAGGGGAGGGCGTACTCTTATGTTTTGCATGCCTTAGCGGTTAGACCATTGACCACGCGTCCTCGAGATGACGNAAACCCAATCCCGATGGCAAACACCGAGGGGGGGGGCGTACTCTTATGTTTTGCATGTCTTAGCGGTTAGACCATTGACCACGCGTCCTCGAGATGACGGAGCATTGTTCCCACAGGACCGATCACCGATGGCCAATCGGTTCTTTCTACTTTGCCAAACGTGGCTCAAAAATGTCGTCCCTAGTCTGTCTATCGGCGGGAAGATACTTCCCGCCTTTTCAACCCACCTCCTATGCCCCA